TAACAGAGACATAGTTACACTGATATCCACTACAGCCTTATTTATAGTAAGGTAAAAAATGCAAGTAATCCAAGTATCAAATAGGATATTAATTTTTAAAAATTATGTAAATACTATGTAAACTTAAAAAAAAGAATAAAGTCCATTATATATACTGACACAGCAAAATGTTCAAGATATATTTTGTTCAAGGGGCACCTGGGTGGTTCATTTGGTTAAGTGTCTGCCTTCAGCTCAGGTCATGATCCCAAGGTCCTGGGATCAAGCCCTGCACTGGGGGGGGGGGGGGTCCCTGTTCGGCGGGAGTCTGTCTCTCCCTATTCCTCTGCCTTCTCCCCACCACTTGAGCGTGCGCATGCTCTCTCTCTAATAAATAAATAAATACCCGTTAAAAAATTTGTTATTTGTTCAATGTAAAAGTAAGAAAAAAATGGATGAGTAATCTAGCCATACAATGGAATGTTATTTGGTAATGTAAAGAAATGATGTATTGATACATGCTTTAACATTTAGCCTTGAAAACATGCTAAATGTAAGAGGACAAAATATTTTATGATCTCATTTTAATGAAATGTCCAAAATCGGTAAATCTATAGAGACATATGGCAAGTTAGTGGTTGTCTAGGGAGAGAAAGAGGAAAGGTTGGGGATGGTGGTTAAAGGGTTCAGAGTTTCTTTCTGGGTAATAAAATACTCTAAAATTGATTCTGAATACGCTAAAAGCCACGGAATCATACACTTTAAATGGTATGTGAATTTATGTCCCCAAGTTGTTAAAAAAGGCACAAAGACAAATTGTAAATAATCTAGGATCCATTTTCATTAATAAAATAAACAAAATTAACCTATAATTCACAGAGATTTTATATTACATTTTAGAGGGATACCTAGGTGGCTCAGTTGGTTAAGCATCTGACCCTTGATTTCAGCTCAGGCCTTGATCTCAGGGCCCTGAGTTCAGGTCCCACACTGGGCTCCACACTGGGTGTGGAGCCTATTAAGAAAAAAAGAAAACGTAAAAAATAAAAATAAAAACTGCCCCTCCCTGAGGAAAGGCGTTATAGGGGGCTTTAATGTTTTTATGCTAGATTTTTTTTGCACAAGTACAGAAATATTTTTGAACATGGACAAAGTTAAATTCTAAACTAAAGTACAACATCCAGAAGAAAAAGCAGTTGTAAAATGGAGGTATGAAATCAGTAAGATCAAACAGTCATGGAGTCAGAGGGCAATATGCAACTTAAGAGGGTCAATTTCAGAACCATGTAGCAGTAAACCAACCAAGGGCTTGCATATGGAGCAGGAAAGTTGGCCCAGGAAGAGGACTATCAAGAAAGGGAAGCTAACAGGGAAGAACACTCATGGGCAGAAAAGAAAGCTGGCAGAAAGCTAACTATCCTCCCTTGTTGGAGTATCAGGGAGGAATGGGACCAGGCCAAAGGCCAAAGGGGCATCTTCAAAGGAAGAGGAAGATAAAGGTCTTCCTTCAGGTATAAAGACAAGTGAGGAAAAATTAAATAGCTAGAGCTTAAAAACAGTCAAGGAATCTCCTAGGTAACTGAATTTGTACCCTACTTGACTATTTCTTCAACCTTTCCTTTGAGGTATTACGTTATACAGAAGACTGCAGAAAATGGTATTTTCCTTAAAAAGTTTTTATTTTATTATTACTATTACTTTTTTTTTTTTTTTTTTTTTTTGAGAGAGGCAGAGACGGGTGGAGAGGCAGAGGAAGAGGGTGAATCTTAAGCAGGTTCCACGTCCAGCACGGAGCCCAATACTGGGTTCGATCCCACAACCCTGAGATCATGACCTGACCCAAAATCAAGTCGGATGCTGAACTGACTGAGCCACCAGTCAGTCTGAGGTATCCCAATAAGTTTGTTTTTAAAAAAGGCACAGTGAGAGCATTTAGCTGTACACATTATAGCTGTATTCCCAAGGTATCCATACCCAGAGAAAGCACTCCTCTCGGATGAGTGAGATAATAGTGATGGACCTATAGAGTCAAGGAAACAAATTGCCTTCAAAGGGCCATGACTGAACCTCCATCCATTTCATT